CAGATCAGGTAATGGTCTCTTAGATATGACAATAGAGCACACACACACACACAAAAGAGAGAGAGAGAAAGTAGAAAAATTGGACTTTACAAAAATTAAATACTTTTGTGAATCAAAGGCCACTATCAAAAAGGTGAAGAGACAACTCACAGAATGGGAGAAAATACTTGTAAGCCTGATAGGAGTCTAGTAAGTAGAATATATAAGTAACTTTTATCACTCAGCAACAATTAAGACACAAAACAATTTAGGTATGGACAAATGACTTGAATAGGCATTTCTCCAAGAAGATAGATAAACGGCCAATAAACACATGAAAATATTCTCAACATCATTAGCCATTAGGGAAAAATGCAGTAAAAAATCAAAATAAGATATTACTTTATACTCATTATGATAGCTATAATAAAAATAAAAAATAAACAGAAAGTCACAAGCATTGGTGACGATGTGAAGAAATTGGAACCCTCATATATTGCTAGTGGAATGTAAATGGCACAGCTGCTATGGAAAATAGGCAGTTCCTCGAAAAGTTAAACATAGAATTACCAATAACCCAACACTTCCACTCCTAAGTATATACACAGGAGAACTGAAAACATATGCCTGCACAAAAACCTGTACACGAGTGTTCACAGCATGATTCATAACGGCCAACAGTGGAAATAATCTAAAAGTTCATCAGCTACTGAAATGGTAAGCAAAATGCAGTCTAGCCATACAATGAGATATTATTAGATCATAAAAAGAAACGAAGTGCCCATAAGTGCTGCAACATAAGTGATCCTTGAAAACATTATGCTAAGTAAAGAAGCCAGATGCAAAAGGCCACATACTGTGTAATTACATTCATACGAAATGTCCAGAATAGGCAAATCTGTAGGGACAGAAAGTAGGTTAGTCGTTCCTGTATGGGAGCTGAGGAGGAAGGGAAGAGGTGCTAATGAGGGGAAGAGGGGTAAGGAACTTCATTTTGATGTGATGAAAATCTTCTGGAATTAGATAGTAGTGATGGCTGCACAACATTCTGAATATACTAAAAACAATTGAACTGTATGCTTTACAATGGTCAAATGGGCCGAGCGTGGTGGCTCACGCCTGTAATCCCAGCACTTTGGGAGGCCGAGGAGGGTGGATCATGAGGTCAGGAGTTCGAGACCAGCCTGACCAACATGGTGAAACCCCGTCTTTACTAAAAATACAAAAGTTAGCCGGGCATAGTGGCGCTTGCCTGTAATCCCAGCTACTCAGGAAGCTGAGGAAAGGAGAATTGCTTGAACCCAGAAGGTGGAGGTTGCAGTGAGCCGAGATCGCACCACTGCCCTCCAGCCTGAATGACAGAGTGAGATTCCATCCCCCGCCGCCCCCAAAAAAAACAGGTCAAATATTATGTGAATATTGTCTCAAAAAAATTTTAAAAAGGAATGGGGAGAGACCTTTAAACTTCACAGTGCTGAACTTAAGCTAGCGTTTGAGACTCCACCATGACCATAAATGAGATTTTACAATTTGAGAAGCACTTTTAATGCTAGGGTTTCAGCTGGGAATGGTGGGAAAACAACAGTAGGACATTGGCTCTGTCCTCAAGCTGCTTATTCCCCATTGGAAGACAAAGGCCCATTGCACTAACTAGAGCATAAGCCAGAAGACAGTAAATGCCACTGTGCAGAGGACAGTAAACGCCACCATGGAGAGAGGTGGTTCTGCTGGGGTGTAAGGGAAGGAGTGGTTTATTCTGACTGAGGAAGACGGGAAGGCCTTACAGAAGAGGAGACATTGAAATTGGGCTTCTAAGGATGAGTAGGAGATTTATAGGTGGAGAAGGTGGGAGAATAGCCATCTAGGCAGTGGGGCCAGCTTGAGCAAAGGTCTCAAGGTATATAAGGCATTCAAAGATATTCATGTTAACTGGATGGTATGATTCAAGCTATGGTTTCTTTCTTCTTCTAGCCAGCACTCGATCATTGCTTTTAATTAAACAACATAACTTTTATTCACATTGATCCTTGGCTCTTGTGTCACAGATCATAACATGAGCCTTGGATGTAAAAGTAGAGAAACGGAAATGTGGTTGTTGAGTCTTGGTGGGGCTTGGCAAGGCCTCTTAATTTCTCTTGCCACATCCACAGCCTTTTTTTTTTTTTTTTTTTTTTGAGATGAAGTCTCACTCTGTTACCCAGGCTGGAGTGTAATGGTGTGATCTCAGCTTACTGCAACCTCTGTCTCCTAGGTTCAAATGATTCTCCCTGCCTCAGCCTCCAGAGTAGCTGGGATTATAAGCACCTGCCACCAGGCCCAGCTAATTTTTGTGTTTCTAGTAGAGATGGGGTTTCACCATGTTGGCCAGGCTGGTCTCGAATTCCTGACCTCAGGTGATCTGACCCCTTCGGCCTCTGAAGTGCTGGGATTACAGTTGTGAGCCATTGTGCTGGGCCTCCACATCCTTCTTAGGGTTGTCTGAGTGCCAGGACATTTTCAGCACATGGCTCTGCTCCTGAATGCTATCTGTCCATTCTGAGAAGCCCTCTTTGCTGCAGTGAGGGCTCCATCCACCTGTCTGGCTCCATCCACCTGCCAGACAGACAAGCTTTTTTTCCCTCTTGAAAAAGTTTTTGCTTGTTGGAGGAGGGAAAGAGACGCATCTTATTCTCCTGGGAAAAGTTGTCCTGTCTGTCTCCATTGGCAGCTGGCTTTATTTGGCTTCTATTTGGATTGCAAACCCATTGCCTTGAGGGGCTTGGGGACACAAGTGCTTCTGTAGGAGGAGTTTGGTGCCTAATGAATTGTTCAGTGAGGAATGCTAAGCAGAAAGCATTATGGAAGGAAAGACATATTTTCAGTATTGAGCCCTGAGGCCCACAATGCCTCCCAGATGAAAAACTAACAGAGTGATCCTCCCAAGTGTGCATGACTGACATTTGCTCCCTGATGCACTAAGCATAAGCCTGTTTAATTATGTTTACAATTTTGTATCTTCAGACCGTAACGGATTTATTGCAAATGTAAATGTGCTGGACAGTGGAGATGTCCAGGCTTTTCTGTAAAGCCAGAGCTGATCCTGCATCAGAGATCCAGTTTGATGAACTCTTCAATGTTCCCAAACCTCATGTGCTTATGAGAAATCAGGACAGGGAGACATCTGGTCTCAAGCAGCTCTACCCAGGGGTAGAATATTGTCCTACCCAGGAGAGGATCTTGGCAAATGAGGCCTGTGTGCCTGCCTGAGTTTGAGCCTTCTGCCTGGTGACCCCTGAGAACAGAGGAGTATAAAGCAGAGGACCAGGCAGTATTGTAAATATGCTCCCCCCAAATTCAAATAGGAGATGTGGATTTAAGTTCTCCTTGAACCAGCTGATAATTTTCTTTTCAAGCCCAAGAAAATTTAATTCTTGTTGCACTGTCTCTAGCTCTCTGAGGGATAAATGCTCTGACAATGTAGACAAGGACCAGATGTGTAGTGGATGGGTCAGTCCGTACTGGGCGGGAGGAGGAGGGAGAAGGGAGGAGGGAGAAGCAGGCCTGAATGTCATTACTTGCAAGGGTCAGGGGGGTCAGTGACAGTGGCAAGAAACAGATTTTTCCAGCTGCTTTCAGGCTGAGATTTGTACTGCATAATCTGAATGCTTTTATCTGTTTCTGAAAATAGACAGGAATTTTTTCCACAGGCTGCTCCAATCTGGCTGTGGAGACGTGGGGGAGGATCGCAGGGAGACGGTTGTACACAGTCCAGTAAGAACGTTTTGTGGACCCCCCACCCCCATCACCAAAACCAGCCTTTCTCCATATTGGCTCTGTGAAGCCACATTATCTTAAAGCCTCTCAAAGTCAGGAGTCAAAAGTGCAGGACATACTTTCCATTCTGAATTTTGTGTAGCTTCTGATATCTCGAGCTAGCATTTATTTTTGCTTAAATAGTCAGGATAAAAGGCCTTTGTGAGGTCCTAAGTACCTGTCTAGTTACTGGTTTCTTGAGTCTGCCCAGAATGGTGTATGTGGGAAGCATAAACAACACAGAAGAAAATGGTTTGATCAGAAATTACAGCTTATAGGGATTACCAATTCCATAAATCATATTATCCCCCTTTATCCTGAATTTAGACTACAAAGAAGCATCACAAATTATTGACAAAGATATTGTGGAAGGTTCACTCTGGATTAAATCAGACTTCATCTCTCTCAGCAGCTGGGCCCTCTCATCTAAGATCAAAAAGATCTTGAACCTTCCAAGTGAACTGCTGTCAAGCAAACAGCAGGAAAACCTCTAATATTATTTACATAGCATTTTCTTTTTCCAATTATGTATTGGTTTCTTCTTGGTACAAGCTTAGCTTGTAAATGTGGAGGCCAAGACACAGGAAAGGAAAACAATGTTAAAGGTCAGGGAGAGTCAGAGAAGGAACTGAGAATAAGACCAGCACCTTTTAACGCACAGATAAATGTGTCTAGATATCACCTCTACTTATTTCAACAATCCTTTTCAGTTGCTACCCACCCATCTACCAAGAATTTGAAGTCGTTTGTCCTGAGGGTGCAGCAAAGCATGTCAGCTTCATTTTCCAACCTGGAGTTTCCTGGGTCTATCAGAAACTGGTGGGAGACTTTGAGGCTGGTACATTTGGGAACTTTATTTGCAATGTTCCTCTAAAGTAGACCTTGAATGAATAGAAGCAAGAGAAGAGTGCCAGATTATTCTGGAATGCTGTCAATGTCCTGTGTCTCCGAGATTCTGTTGTCCCTATGCCCAAAGAGCCCTGTGGTTAACTCAGGCACCAGTGAGGAGGAAAAAGCAGAAATGTGAACTCTCATAGTCACCTGCCTCAGGCCAAGGTCTCTGTCTAGGAACTGCTATTTGTGAGTCAATTTCTTGATGACGCAGTTTCTTGATGACTTGCTGGATGTCAAGTGGAATGTCTTATTTATCAGCCTTCTAGGACCCCCACACCTGGTACTGTGACATCACAAAGATTGCCATAGTCTATGGGAAGGTGACTTCTCTGTTGTGTATATAATGCTGTGGGACTTCCAGTTGTCAGCCTCTCAGTCACTAAGCAGAAGAAAGAATGGGAAGGCATAGAGATTAGAGGGAGAAGGACAAAGAGATACAAGGAGAGTGACAGGAAGGAAGAAGAAAGGACTGAGAAGCTCATAATGCAAGGTAGGTAAATGGTTTTGAAAAGAACCGGGTGAGCCAAAGAGAAAGGGAGAAACAATTTAGCAGAGAGAGTGGAACATATACTGGTACCTCCACCCACTGTACCCCAAGCCTTGTGATGAATCTGGATCAACAGTCTGGCCCTTCCAGGGACTCCCAAGCACCACCAAACACAGAGTTTCGAAGAAAAGAGCAGGAAGTTGGTGGGTTTCAGGTGCTTGGAAGAGAAGTAGGCTGATCTCTGACTCATCCTATTCAACTGCAAGCACCCAACATATGCAGAAGCTTTCAGATGAGATCATCTAGTCGTGATTTGCAAAAGACTCTGATTTGATGGCATAAGGGGATAGGTACTTCATCAACATTTTTCCTTACTTTTCCCAGCACAGCTCAAAGTGGGTAGAATTGCGGCTCTTTTAAAATAATAAATAATGTTATGGAAAGGAAAAATGAAGTATAGAGAAGGGACAGACCTTAAAAAGGATGCTCAATAATAAAAGAAACAAACACACTCACACACAGACAAAAAGACATTGTTCTTGATCCACTGAGAGGCGATACGGTAGGACAGAAAGCACATGGGCTTCGACATCAGAGAGACATAGACCTAAGCCTGCTTTTGCCACTTACTGACCTTGAGCAGTTGGTTTAACCTTTTTGATTCTAAGTTCTTTCATCTGTGCAGTGGGGATATCATACCTACCATTCAGGGTTCTTGTAAGGGCTGACGGCAAGGTGTGTAGAGTGCCTGGCACTTGGTTAGGAGGTCAGTAACCGTCAGCCAGGATGATTCTGTATCTGTTAGCTTCAAGCAGCAGAGTGAGGACTAACTTCTCCAGGCAGCACCTCCACCTCCCCAGTTATTGTTGTTTTGTGTTACTTTGGAAAGGAGCTTCAAGGTCATTTGGTTCAAGTCACTTCTTTTGTGGTCCAAAAAGGCGGGTGGCTGATTTGACATCACAGTTGGAATGTAGATTAATGGCAAAGCTGGGTTGGTGCACCTGGCTTCCCAGACAACACTGCTTCCTCCTTACCTGTCTGCTTCTGCTAAAATGATGACTGGACCATCTTTGTAATAAGTCTTTGGGAAGAAAAGATATTGGTAAAAAAATAAAGGAACCAGAGGCCTCCACTTTCATTTCTTTGTGATCCCTTTACTCACCTGGGTTGTTGTACAAAGCAGATAAGCTCTCCATCTTGTGGGTGCTAACAGGAGCATCAGAGAGACTTCTTAGCAATATGCTGGCAGCCCCATCAAACCTCCATATGAGTTGTTTTTGCTTTCCTGGTGGAGGCAGTAGCAGTGACTTTCTGGTATGGAATGCTCTGTCCACTAGCCTTGGCTTGCAGGAATCCATCAGTGACTGTGCAGGAAGTCATCTATCTAAACCCTCTTTGCCAGTAAGAACATTTAAAACTGGCCCAAACCTCAGGGACAGTTCAGCTATTAACGGAAAGTGAATAAACTCTGAGGCCCTTAAAGACCCATGTAGTATAAACTGCATTTCACAGACCTTGAAGCACATCTAGAAAGCCTTATGGAAAGAAAGAGGGCCTTAGCTTCATCCGAGGCTCTGACTGCTTATGTTAGTGAGGGTCAGGCCAGGTAGTTGACTCATCTTTTATAGAGACAAGAACTCTCCAGAGGTAGAAAGCAGGAGTGCACAGTATTTAAGATGAAAGGAGAGGAGGAATCCAGCCTGAGAAGAAAGGCAGCCTGGGGCCACATCCTGACTCCGATCTTGTCGCAGGGCCGGGTTCAACCTCAGGTCTTCCTTTTCCTTCAGTTGGTTGAGAGAGGACAGAAGACCAGAAATGGGTGAAAAAGAAGGAAAGCCTTTCATCTGTCCCTTGCAAAAAGGGACCCTCTTACCATGTCCAGTTAAGACTCTCCTTCTAGAAAATGGGCATAGGGGCAGAATCCATTTCTCAGATGCCAGCTCACATCAGCATCTGGGTGGAGGGAGGTGTTCATACCAGCCAGATCTTTATAAGGTTGTGATAGTGAAGCCAAGAACCCCTGAAGTCAGCTGACGTCCTACTGAGTCTAGGATGAGGCTGCTTCGCCCTCAGCCTGGGGAGTGCCCGTGCACAAGGGAAAGGGCAGGTCAAACCAGAGTGGGGATGCGAGGGGACCCTTTCTAAGCCAAAGGTCCACTTCAGTTCCAGGCAAAGAGGGTCTCCCTTTCTTCTCCCCTAACAATTCCTCAGATGATGACTTCTACACCCAATTTCCTTCATGCTCACATAAGGAACCAGGCTCAGGATCTGCAGTTTGGGAGGAAGGCTGCCTGCTAACCCCTCCTCTTTCTCCTACACACACACACACACACACACACACACACACACACATGCCTGCAAGATTTCCACTCTTGACTGACTCTATCAACCCAGCCTCATTTCCTTCCACGGCAGGGCCCTTGGAGCCCAGCGCTGAGCTGGTGCTGCTCTAAAAATAACTGTGTCCAATGTGATGAATGGGAAGGCATTTGCTCTCCTTTTCCTGCCTCAGCGTCGGGGCCTGAATCATGTTGGGAAATGACATTCTGTTAACACAAGCACTTTTGTTTCCTCCTGTGCTCTCTTGCCATCCGGTTGGGGCCCCGGCCCAGGCTGGCTTTCAATTTTTAAAGCCTCCCTGGGGGTCCATCCAGTACCCCCATCCCCTGACATTAAGGAAAGCCGTAGACAAAGAGAAATGGAGAGAAGCACCCTGTGCTTCCCTGGGGGATGCTAAGAATGTGAGGAGGCATTGGTGGCACAGACACAACCCCACCCATACTTCACCAGGAAAAGCTGAGCTGACCAGACATCCAGAACAGAGTCTCTCAAGGCCAGGAAACAGCCCCAGCTCAGCACTTGGCTCTGGGCAGTGACTGGACAAATGACTGCAGAATGGAAAATGGAAGCGACCAGACAGATAACATCTCCCTGCTTTCATGTGAGAGTGGCTCTGATACCATCTGGAATCATACTTGTGGGGGAGCGGGTCTCAGCAATGCAGGGGTGCATTTGGGGCAACATATTTCGAGGCTTCTTTTGACTTTGTTCTAAGTTCTGTGAAGCCAAGCATCATACCAACTTATCTTCCCATACCCCTAGGTCCCAATCATCATGCCTGGCTCAGAAGAAGATCTTAATGTGTGCTTTTTAGTTTGAACAGAAATAAGTAGCATCTAGAGGGTCTTGGAGGGAGAACTAGAGTCACTCAACTTTTAAAGAACAAAGGATAGAATCTCTGGAATCTAGAGATTTAGGCAAAACCCTCATACTAGGCCTGGAGAAAGATCATTTTTTAAAAAAATTAATATTTTTTTTTTTTTGAGATGGAGTTTTGCTCTTGTTGCCTAGGCTGGAGCGCAATGGTGTGATCTCGGCTCACCACAACCTCCACCTCCCGGGTTCAAGTGATTCTCCTGCCTCAGCCTCCCAAGTAGTGGGGATTACAGGCACACGCCACCACTAGAGGCTAATTTTTGTATTTTTAATAGAGACGGTGTTTCTCCACGTTGGTCAGGCTGTTCTCTAACTCCCTGCCTCAGGTGATCTGCCCGCCTTGACCTCCCAAAGTTCTGGGATTATAGGCGTGAGCCACCACACCCAGCCTTTTTATTAATTTTTAATTTTAATTTTTTTTTTTGAGACAGGATCACTCAATGTTGCCCAGGCTAGTTTCAACCTCCTGAGCTCAAGCGATTCTCCTGCCACAGACTCCCAAAGTGCTGGAATTACCGGCGTGAGCCACCACATCCGTCTGTGAGATCATTTCTTAAAGCCCTTCCTCCAGCCTTGACTCTATCCCAAGTCACAGGCCGCTTGGGAACCCATGACTGTCTTCTCTGGAGCAACGATTTGGCAGCGTATCGCCCTCAGACAGGAACCAGCTCTTCCTGGGAAGCTTCTCGTCCCTAAGACTCATTTCTGGTTTTTGTCTTGGATTTGTACGGGATCTTGGTTTCATGGAACCTGTTTTAAACGTCCTTTGGGGCCTCCTATTGATCCTCTTAACCTTTAACCTATTCTCAAACAAAATAACAGAAATTGTTGGCTTAAGCAGTAAACCCATAATTAATCAGAAATCTAGGGAATCTGTGTTTCATAGTTTCAAGAGAGTTTCATTGTTGGACTGGGTCAGAATATAACCAGCACCCATGCACGATCATCACTCTGATCTGTGTGTCTTCAAATGCATAGGGACCCTGAGACAGGTCTTAGTAGCTGCTGGCATGCTCTGTTATCTGGCTCTCTGACATGTCTCCCCACGCCTTTGGTACCCAATCATACACATTCCCACCCTGAGAGGAGATGGGGAGCATGTGGGCCTGAGAACAAAAGTCTACCCTCTCAAGGTGTCCAGGACAGGCTTCCCAGCTGGCAGTGAGAAATGGCAGCAGACCGCCCACCATACCTGGCAGAGGCAGATGCATAGTCCTGAACCTCGGGGACACAGATACGCTACAACTGGAGAAGACACGGGTTCATGTAAGTAAGAGGCTGAGATTGGGGAATCTCTAGGGGCAGAAACTCAGGCAGATACCACAGGAGACTCAGATTCCAAAAATGGGGGCACAGAGATGCATCAGCCTAGTGACTCACATTCTGTAGGTGCCCATCATTGATGAAGAAGTGGAAGGAATTTGGGAAGGAGACATTGGCTGCACCAGATCTTGTTGTGACCTTAGGTATCTTCATTGGTAAAATGAGGAGGCAGGGTCCATCTCTGAATCTGTGATGCTGACATATTTTTGTACTTAAAGTTGGAGGAATCAGACAATAGAAGGAAGGAAACAGTCCCTGTAGTGAGATGGCCAAGTGGTTCCTAAAGAGAAGGCTTCCCTCTGCCCTTTTAATTTCTTGAATCTTTCTCCATAATCCCTTGTAACAAGTCAAAATGGTCTTTCTTAGAAGGCCTGGACTCCATCTTGGTGGTTAGCACCTCCTTTTAATTTCTGCCCCACACCTTGTCAGCTCTTCCTCCTTCCATCTTGTCTTCTTCTAGTTGCCCTTATATGTAGCTTTTTCCCTTCTGGCATCTCTGACTGCTGAGCAAGTGGACCCTTCTCTCTGAGTTCCCTGGGCTTCAACAGAGTCAGATCGAACTTGACTTCAGCAGGTCCCACGACCACCTGAGCATGTCCTTTCCCATTCTCCCACTCACAGATGTCTCTTCAGAGGGTTTCAAGTACCCCTTCTCCCAAGGCAGCTCCCCTGAAGATCTCTGTGCTCTTACCTTCTCCCCAAATTTCTTTTGTGGCCGGTCCCTGAAGGCCTGTCCTGAATCAACTTGTACTCATTTTGTCCTTCCCAATATTTTTTGTTTGGACACACAACTCTGCAGCTCAGCTTTCTTGGTCTTACCCCTTCTCCAAGACTTTTATTTTCTATTTTTACTCTAGCTCTCAAAGTGATCACCAGGGCTAATCCTAGAAAGATGTCGTGGAAGGGAAAGAGCTCTTGCAGACTGGAACTCCCCTACCTCTACCCCAACCCCTAGTTATCTTTAATGAGAAATGGCCACCAGGCAATCTCCAAGAGTCTGGGGAACTTTAGGACTGGTAGATCCCAGGGGACTATTCTGGATGTTTGCAGAGTGGAGCCAAAGCTCACTCTCAGGATATTTATATGGTGACCAGAAATCTTCAGTGTGCTGGTCGATGCCGGGTATTTGCATGAAGCGCTTGCTTCTGCTAAATTCTGTTTGTAGGGGCCTCCTCCTTGCAGAGGATGTCACTCCCTTGCTGAGGGTTAACTGCTCAGGAAGCTTTTCATCTGTATGTGAAAAAGCAACCAAAGTCGATGCAGCAGGCAGCCCAGTCTGCTAGCTCTTTCCTTTTCTTTCTGTCTCTAGATGACATCCTAATAGCCCTGTTCTGATGAGTGCCAGAGAGTAACTACCCTAAAATTAAAGGGCAAGGATGTCTTTTCAAAAAAGAATTTTTAAAAAACACTTGGGCTTTGCAACTTAGCCTTTCCCTCAGTGAGGTAGGCGTCCAGGGTGGCTGGTTTCACTGCTGTAAAGATAAATGGGAGGCTAAGTGGGGGTGTGTGCACCTCCTGGGGCCATGGCTGGGGACTTGACAAGTCATTTATTCCAGGGCATAGCCTGGCTCCTCGCCAGCCTCCCGTGTAATCACAGTCAACGAGAAACCTGAAGTGGATGACCCCCAGCATGGGTCCTCTGCTTCCCAGCCAGCACCTCCCAGCATCTGGTGGATGTGCACAATTTGTAATACTTCTGAGGATAATGACTTGGTCTCATGGAAAAAGGAGAATTGGTCCAAGATAATGTCTGGTAAGCCTTGACATTCCACCCTGAAGTGATCCCACACTCATGTAGAATCACCAAACAGCTGCACGATCATATTGCAGAATCTTACTCAACAGCCAGCCTGTCATTGAATTCATCCCCGATTCCAGCTTTTCTCAAACAAAAGGAGCCCTGATGCAGGAGGAGCTGGAGTCAGCCAGATGGAAGAGAAGTATAGATTGCCAAGGCTGGGAGCACCCTTTCGATGTTTTGGCCCAACCCCTCTCATTTTGTATATGAAAAAACTGAGATCACAAAAAGGGGGAGAAAATTTCCCAAGGTAACCCAGTGGAAGAGCTGGGTCAAGAGGGTGGGACTCTTGAACCACAGGGTCCCAGGCCAAGGTGCCCATTCACCTCTTGGGATTGCACATCCCTCCCTGACCCCATTCTCAGAGAAGCCCTGAGAGTGAGGATCTTGGCCAGAAGAAAAGTGATGGAACTGCTGCGGTGAAAAAAAACAAAGCTCTATTGCCAGGAGGATCCTGAGTCTCCCGACTCTGCCAGGAGGAGAAATCTTGCTGTTTTAGAGGGAAAATGAGGAGGAGGTGGTGGCATAGTCTAGCTTTCACAAAGTCATAGATACAAAGTTAAACTACATGAAGCAAGTTGTCTGGGTCTATAACACGGGTAAACCTGTATCATTGGAATCTTTTTGGAGGACCAAACAGAAAACAGCAAATAGTGGTAGTCATTCAACAGCAAGCCTTAAGCACCTACTTAGGGCAAGATACTGTGCTATTGTGCTAGGTGCTACTGGGAATAGAGAATACAGTGTGGGCAGAGAGTACTGTTGTAAGAACCAGTCTGGTGCCTGTCAGTGACAATATTTTTATAGGCACACACACACGCACATGTGTCAAGGAATGAAGTATTTCACAAAGCTCTATTTTTTTTATTCCTAGATCATGTTCTATCTTTTTGGGCTGTTATTAATATAACTTTCTCAATTTTTAACAATATCCTCTGAATAAAATGTTGGCAACTCTCTTTTTTTTTTTGTATTTGGACTCTGGGGTACATGTGCACATCCTGCATCCTGCAGGATTGTAGCATAGGTACATACATGCCGTGGTGGTTTGCCATCTCCATTCCCCGCACCCCGTCGCCTACATCAGGCATTTCTCCCAGTGTTATCCCTCCCCCTCCTCCCCAACACCCCCAGTTGTCTCCCCCTCCCCTCCCTTCCAACTCCCCATCTAACCCTGTGAGTGTTGTTCCCTTCCCTGTGACCAAGTGTTCTCATTGTTCATTACCTGCCTATGAGTGAAAACATGCAGTGTTTGGTTTTCTGTTCTTGTGTCCGTTTTCTGAGAATGATGGTTTCTAGGTTCACCCATGTCTCTACAAAGGACACAAACTCATCTTTTTTATGGCTGTATAGTATTCCATGGTGTATATGAAAATGTTGGCAACTCTCTTGAGTGTTTTTAAAACTGTATTGGCTGATGAAATCCAAAAGTCTGGCAACTACAGGTGTGGTTGAAAGGACCTAGGCTCTAGGGATAGAGAGGGATGGGTTCAGATCCCAGGTCAGTCATTGATTTATTATCTGCCTTGGGAACATTTCTTAACACTCAGAGTTAAGTTTCCTACCTGTGATACAAAAGTTCCCAGAACAGTGAGGACTTCCTGTAGAAGTACTCACCTGCGGAAGTACTTACACATGTTATTCCCAATCTCTTAGACATTTTTTGTGTGTATGTGTATGTATACACGTGTACAATGCAGATGCGTTGTACTAGGAGCTGTGTGGGAAACAGGCAGGATTTAATAACCTTTGTTCTCCCAGAGCTGAAAATGTTGCTGGTGAGACAGTCTACCTCACCAGAAATCACGAGAGGGAGGCAGAAAGTCTAGCATATCTTTCTTCTCTCCCAGAACAGTTTCTTTGCTTTGGTAGTGGTGACAGGAATTTTCAGAGATTGCTTTCCACAGTTTACTTTATATTGTTTTTTCCATGGCTGGTTTCAGTTTATACTAAGGCTCCCTCAAAGCTCATAAAGTTCCCTTTAAAACCTCATAAAATTTCACCTGTGGATATTTATTGCCCACAGGATGTGAGCCATGTCCATTTGGTTTTGATAGATTTACCATTATTAAACCTGGACTCCTACTTCCCAGCAGCCTTATGAAGATGGCTGCCTCCTCATTTAGCGTTGTGGGAATCCCCTCTGTCCCCCTGTGGGGAAATATTTCAGTTCCCTGGAAGTTAGCTCAGCCAGTGGGCCGTGATTCTTACTTGCAGACTCATGACGTTCAGGAATTTGCTCCAGCTCTGGGCAATTGGTATGGTCCATAAAATTCACCCCAACTCACTCTAGCCTCCCAGACTCCTCCCAGATGCCATTCCCAGGAATCCATCCACGAATATTTGTTGACCTCCACAGTCAGAAGTATCTGAGACATTACAAGGATGTTAAAGATGTTCCTGCCATAGTCAAGGGAAACTCTCAAGTGCACAAAAACAATTCAAATGAATTTTTTCTATTGACCCCAAACATCTCCCAGGGACATTTGCCCACTGGCTCTAGTCCTATATGACAATTCTACAAATATTTGCAGAAAGGCATTATGTTTCTCCTTTAACCTTCTCTTTTCCAGGCCAAATATTAATACCACCACTACATTGAATCTGCTTTAAGGCCCTGGTTTCCAGACTCCTTCCTGTCCTGGGTGGTACCCTCTGGGGTTGCCATTGGAGCGTGTGTCTGAATCACACTGGAGTCAAGAAGAGTCTGTAGGGATGCTTCTCAGTCTGCCTGGCTGAAGATCCTTGTTCTCAGGATGAAGAATGTACCTGGCTATGTGGAACACTTCAGAGGATGCCAGCAAGTGCCCAAAGTTCACAGCAAGTTCAGACCTTGGTCAATTAAAGACCAGCTCTGGGAAGTCCAAACAGGCAGATAGAGTACCTTGATCAGAGAATCCGTAGCAATTTAGGGGTGTAGACTGCAGAGTCAGAGTAAAGGAAAAGTACAGAGATACAGGCTGGGATAATGTAGAAAGACAAAGAAGTCACCTGCAGCTAGAAGTAACTCCAGTGCCTAAGCCTCACGCCTAGGGGATACAGAGTCCTGGGTCTGAGTGGCACGTGGGAGGCTCTGGGAGGAAGCTGGAGGAGCAGTCTAGGTGAAGAATTGTTATTTAACCCTAAGGTTTAACAGAAGGTGAAGCCAAAGCTGCTGACCTATTCCTTGTGTGTATTATCAAAATTCATTTATGTGAAAGTGCAGACTTCCAACTCACACTGTTTTAGGCACAGAGGAAATGTATTTGTTCATACAAATCCCAGGCACTGGTATTGAGGTTAGGTCCTGCTTCAGGAACTGTTGAATCAGGTGATTCTCTATCTGTCAGCTCCAAGTTGATGTTCCTTTCAGGCAGGTGTTTCCAAGAGGTAGATTCTGCAGCTTTTGCTCACTTCTCAGCTTCAAACTCAACTGAAAATGGGCCTCTGTTTCCTAAAAATCCTAAAGTCCCAGAATTGGAATTGGATCATGTGCATATTTCTGGAGCTTGGAGGTAAAGGTCTAACCTCATAATGCAGAGAATGATAGAGAAGCAATTTCCCTGAGGGAAATGGGGGTGGATCCTGTGAAGCACAGATGATAGATGTCTACGTGCTGCCTCACTCCAGATTAGCTCTGGAGCTGGGGTACTAGGCTTCAGGCTGAGGGCAGTGGAAGGAGCTGGCAGTTGGAATGAGCTGAGGGTGTCTGCCAGCTGGAAGGCCTCTTTTTTGGTCAACATTTAGCTTAGCACTTCAGACATGGTTCAAGCAGCAAGGGGCACAAAGGGATCTCATCTCCATATTGCAGGCCCTGTCATTTAAGGAAAGCCCAAGCGTGGATTTCAGATGAGCCTCTGCATCCTCAACACTCCTCCGGAGGGTGTGCTACTCTCAGGAACGTGCTTTAGCTCTGTCCTTTTCCAACATAGGGGACATTTTACGGGGTGAAAAAAGAACATTTAAAGCAGTCTCACTCCTCTTCTTTTTTTGGGGGGGGGGTTGCCAGTATTTTATTGAAGATTTTTGCATCTATGTTGCCTCTCCTCTTCTTAATCTTCCTCTGGAAGTAATCACAACAAAGTCTCATCATGATTTTAAAATTCACGGCTTGGCTCAGTTTGGTAAGCCTGGGTTGGACTCGGACACAAATGTCATCCCCAAACTCAGCTCAGCCATGGATCCCCACTGAGTTGTTCTTCCCCTTGTCTTAATTTCAGCACTCTCTTGTGAAGGCTTTGAGGCCGACAGGCACTTCTCTGCGTAGGGGGTTCTTGGAGAGTTGGAGTGACTTCATTCTTTCCTGGGGCATTCTTCTTTCTTCTGTTCGGACAAGAATCTGTCCTTCCTTGTCCTCCCCTTCAACCCTTCCACTCTTTGAGCTGGAAACTTTTCTGACAAAGTAAAGATGGAGGTGACAAATCACATTTGGGTCACATTCCTAGGTCTCCTCCTCTTGGCTACCCCTAGGCTAAGGAGTCTGGAAACCATCAAATGATTCAGAATGAGCTGAATGGGTTCTTCACGCTTCACATTTGGCGTCAGGGAGCAGAGCAGTGGCTGATGCAAGAATGGAACAGAGAAGGAGTTGAGAAAAAAACAAAAAAAGATGAAAAGAACCCGGCCATAGCTAAGGGCTCCTACACAAAAGTATTTATGAAAAGCACTCAGTGTGGACCCATGCATGGCTGTAGGTCTTCGGTTGCTGCTGGAGGCCAAGTAGAGCCAGACTCTGCCCACAGCATGTGCTCAGTTGATATTTACAGGATTCCCTCTCTGTTCCTAGGACCTATTCCTGTCCAGGACCACTGAAAAGGGAGTAATGAGGCTGGGCAACTGGGGAAGTTAGGATAGGCTCAGCAAAATCTTGGGAGGATGAACAAAGGTCACTTAATCACATCCACAGGTGACAAGCAGGCAGCCATGGGGAAAAGACACTCATGGGACAGTGACTGGTGTCATGCTGTGCATACAGGGTGATGATGGCAGCCTCCTGTCAATGGAGAAGGCTCACTGGGTCACTGTTGACTCCATTTTTCTTCATGAATCTTCCAGGTCTTGCTCCTCTTCTCCCACTAACACTCCTCCAGACCACTGATCTTCTCCAGGATCCTGCCTTAGTCCACTCCCACCCAGTTTTAAACCTAGGGGACCATTATCCGGTTTCTCTGGGGGCAGGGGCTAAAGTGGGGTGGCCTTGTCTACCCTGTGCTCCTTTCAGTCAATGCTGAGCATACTCTCTCTGTCTTGTTTTCTTCAGAGTGGCTCCTTTGGATTGTCAAGAGCCTTTTCTTCTTTCAACAAAACCCTCCTTGCATAAATTTAAAAGATTGGTTTTCAAAATTTTTGAACTTGGAAGTTAAACAAATGAACAAAAAAATTGACTTTTTTCTCTTTGAAGTGCTCTTTGTATTTTTAAACTTTGTATAAGTAAAATAACTTGTGGGGGTGCAGTGCAGTTTTGAGACATGGATATGTTGTGTAGTGGTGAGGCCTAGGCTTTTAGGGTAGCCATCACCCAAATAGTGTACATGGTATACCCTATAAGTAATTTCTCATCCCTCATCCCCCTCACCTTCCCACCCTTCAAGTGTACAGTGTCTATCGTTTCAGCAATCTTAATTCCCCCAAACCCTGCAAATGACACAGATGTTTTGAAGAGGATAATTAAGTCTGAGAAATTGTAAAAAAGAAAAGCACAAACATTGATATTTCAATATGTGATCATATTTTATTCTCATTGGTTCTTCATGGCCAAATAATTTGGGAGCAACTGTGACTCACTGCAGCCTCAGCTTCCTGGGCTCAAGCAATCCTTCCACGTCAGCCTCCTGAATATCTGGGAATACAGGCGTGTGCCACCATTCCTGGCTATTTTTTATTTTTTGTAAAGATGAGGTCTCACTATGTTGCCCAGACTGGTCTCAAACAGTCCTGGCCTCAAGTAATTCTACTGCCTCAACCTCAAGCAATCCTCCCACCTCTGCCTCCCAAAGTGCTGAGGTCGCAGGCAGGAGGCACTGCACCCAGCCTGTTAGAGCTTTCTTTGTAAATATTTGGAAACCATCTAAACATCCACAGTAGGGAACTAGTTATGTAAACTGGTACATTAATGTAAAGATACTCTGCAGCCATATTGTATATTTTCATAGAGACCGCCAAAGTTATTTATTCGTAAGTGGTTGAGAACAGTATGCATGTTATAATATTTATTAGCAACTTACTATGCATCAGGCATTTGTACTTTCATTTATTGTCTTACTTATCAAAGCAACCATATGAATATTATTACTGTTCCCAATTTCAGACAAGCCTTTACAAAAAAATGTACAAATCTTGTCTCAATGCTGCACACTTAATTAGTGGCCAAGACAATATGAGAACATGGTCTGTCCCGCTCCTAAGCTCTCCAGTGTAATCACATTTTTGTAGACAATATGATGACAATATGCATTGATGTTAGCACAAGTGTTAAGAAAACAAAAATTTGCTTGGCAAACTGCTGTTTATCCTTCTGGACTGCTTGGGTATTTACTTTCTCTCTTTCCATTTCAAGCAGAGTCGGTTACTCCTTCTGGGGGTGCTTCCAGAGTCATTTGTGAATACCCCAAATAACACTCACCAACCTCTGTCTTAAACATTAGTTTATGTGTTTGTCACTACTATTATTAAGCTCTGTCCTACCAGCTAGGTCTGGCTTGTTTGATTTTATAACCCCAGTGCCTGGCAAAAAATACATAGATGGTGTCAGAACACTCATTGAAATTCTAAAGGAGTTTAATACTCATTGAGCCAAGCAAGGGTCAGGGGGTCAGGTTCAAGGTCAAAATATCAAGGCAGATGGCCACTGCTGCCATTCTGGGGAAAGGGCATCCTGGACAGACCAGGGAGCTAATCTCAGTTGCTCTTAGGATCACTGGAGTAGAGTTCTGAGCCCCAAAAGTTCTGAGCCCCATAGGGCCAGAGCAGATGGACTGGGAAGCTAGTGAACCTAAAGCTTCAGGACCCATAAAGGGCCTGTATTAATTTGGCATTTGTAATTTTGCAACCTTTATATGAGAGAGGGCTCCCCCAGGCCAGGTGCAGTGGCTCATTCCTGTAATCTCAGCACTTTGGGGGGCCAAGGCAGGTGGATCACTTGAGCCCAGGAGTTTGAGACCAGCTTGGGCAACATGGCAAAAACCTTTCTCTACAAAAAATACAAAAATTAGCCAGGTGTGGAGGTGTGCACCTGTAGTCCCAACTACTTGGGAGGCTGAGTTGGGAAGATCACCTAAGTCTGGGAGGTCAAGGCTCCAGTGAGCTGTGATTGCACCACTGCACTCCAGCCTGGGTAACAGAGTGAGACCCTATCTCAAAAAATAAAAAAAATTAAAAAGGAGAGGGTTCTCTTGCAGGTGGCATAAGGTTCCAACTCCACAAAACCTGGATCGCTGCCCCTGTCCAGAACTTCTCTATCCCAGACACGACTTCTCCCTCCTTGTTTTCTAAGGCGATCCTTTCTTATGTCCCATTAAATGTCACGTGTCAGGTTTCCAAGTGTGCCTGTCATCAATCACCTTGTTATCACTTGCACTTCAAATCAATGTTCCCCAGGAAGGTAGCTTGGGTTTCTTGGGTCTCCACGGTGTTGAAATATTTTGGGAAGCCCAGGAGAAGCAGCATATTTATCTGTTATCAGACCTCAAGGGTCACCCGAAATGTCGACTGGTGATGCGCCATGCTTTGGTTGAACCTTCTCATGTGGGAACACTAGGCGCTTTGAGTTCATCAGAAGCCTGATCGGCAAATGCATTCATCTGTGATTAAATAGAACATGGAGAAACAATGTCATCTAAATGGGATCATTAAAAATGTCATCTAAATGGGATCTTTTAATTGCTTGGAGACCAAGTCTTTCAAAAGCAAATGTAGGAGCTCTTGGAAGCAATAATATTGGGAATTCCCTCATAAACCTTTACTCTGTAGATTGATCAGCCTTTCCAAAAGCAGAGCAGGTCCCAAGGCCACAAAGGAGTGGCTCTGAGCACAGGAGGTGAGACTGAGCAGAAAACATGTCCACTCGCTGCAGGTGTCTCCCCCCACCCCCCACCCCACAGGGCTCCTGGAAACCTCTCTTGGAGGGAGAGGGATGGTTTTCCTTTAAGGAAGTGATCATTCACCTAGCCTCTGATGACACAGCCTGCCCTGTGAGGTGAAAGGAGAAGCTCTCCTGTGGCGTGTGGTTTAAGAGCAGTTTATCTTCTTGAAAAATCCCACATCTTAGCCCATCTCTCAGCGCCACATTGTCTACTCTTGGAAAATGCTAACTAGCCAGAAGGAAAGAGCAAGAGAAGAAGAGAGGGGAGGCAAAGAGTAAAAGAGGAGAAAGAAAGAGTGACAATCAAAGAGAGTAAGAAAAGTGAAGGGAGGAAAGGAAAAGATGAAGGAAGAGCAGGTTGGATGGTAAAAGGGAGAAGAAAGAGAGCATGAGTAGCGACCCTGAAAAACAACAGTCTGTGATGAGATGTGGCCATAACAGAGATGGTGTATTTTAGAAGCCTTCCGGAGAAAAACACTGGTACTTTTCCTGCAAATGTAATGAAGACTCCTCCTTAGCCCAGGTGTCCCCGGCTCCTCCCCGAGCCCCAGCACAGCATCCCTTCCTTCCCAGAACCCCCTTCACCAACATATGCTGTTAATTTCCTCCACCTAATCTGGGGAGTCCTCTGAGGTAACTTGGATCTTTCAGGATCATCATGAGATCTTGCAAACCCGAAACAACACCTCGTGGGGCAATTGCTCAAGTGATTCCTGACATAGCACCACCTGGGGTAAACACAGGCCAGCTGCTGAACAGCTGTGCCCCAGCACTCAGTGCCAGAGGTGGAGCGGAGCTGTGATTCAAGATAAGGAGCCTCCCAGGCAGCAAGAGCGGCAGCAAAGCCCAGCACTGCAGCCCAGGCTCTTGCGCCGGCTTTCCTTTGTCTTTCTGGTTTTATTATAAATACACTCATATAAAAATAAGTACCACTCCACTTTTGTATAACACTTTATAATTTAAGTATTTCCCATGCATTATCATGTTTGATCCCTTAGCATTTAAAATTGTTGAAAAATTAGCCAAAGGCTCAATGTTTTTATAATTTTCCTTACTCAGCCCACATATTTTCCACAAACATTCCTTGTCTATCACTTCCCTACACCTACAATACAGGCAAAAAAAAAAAAAAATCTTTTGACCTTTTTTCTCTGTCTATTTGAAAGCAAGCTTTTCTCCCCTGGCCGGTTCTGGTGACACTGTAATTGCAGGCTTTCGCAATTTTGCTTTCCTGTCTACATCTCCAGGATTCTAATCTTTTGTTCCCTTTTCCACTTACCTCGGACAAAAGGTCTGACCTTTGCACCTGTGGCTTGACTCTTTACTTCCTCCTTCCACATTAGCATAGCCAACTGTCACCAAGTTCTTTCAGGACCAGAGGACAATTAGAGGCACAAAGGTAAGGTGTTGGCTAATCACCTCTGCCTTGTGTCCCACTCATTGCAGCTGCTTTTCTGCTCCTCGACGTTATTATTATTATTTTGGAGATAGAGTCTTGCTCTGTTGGCTAGACTGGAGTGTGATGGCACAATCTTGGCTCACTGCAACCTCCACCTCCTGGGTTCAAGTGATTCTCCCCAGTAGCTGGGATTATAGGCATGCACCACTGAGCTTGGCTAATTTTTGTATTTTTAGTAGAGACAGGGTTTCACCAAGTTGGCCAGGCTGGTCTTGAATTCTTGACCTCAGGTGCTCCGCCCTCCTCGGCCTCCTAAAGTGCTGGGATTATAGGCATGAGCCACTGTGCCCAGCCTATAATTATCATTATATGAGATGGAGTCTCACTCTGTTACCCAAGCTAGAGTGCAGTGGCATTGTCTCGGCTCACTGCAACCTCTGCCTCCTGGGTTCAAGTGATTCTCCCACCTCAGTCTCTGGAGTAACTGGGATTACAGCCATGCACCACCACACCCAGCTAACTCTTTTGTATTTTTAATAGAGATGGGGTTTCACCATCTTGGCCAGGATGGTTTCAAACTTCTGACCTCATGTGATCCACCTGCCTCGGCCTCCCAAAGTGCTAGGATTACAGGTGTGAGCCACCACATCCAGCGCCATATTATATGGTCTTGAATTCAGCTCTTTAATTATTAGCTGGGAAACCTTGGGGGAAGTTATTTAATCTTTTTGAGTTTCACTTTCCTGATTCCCAGTAAAATCAGGATACTAGTAGAACCAAAGTAGACTTACAGTAAGACTTAAAGAGATAGTGACGCACAGAGCCTCATGCCTGGTATGGGGCAGGTGCCTAGAAACATCAGTTCCTAATCTCTCCATTGTACTTTCATGTTTTTCTAACTAACTCATAATAACTAATTATGAGAAAAACACTTGGCTGTGGAATCACAAGACCTATGTTTAATTCCAGCTTTTGCCTCTTTGGACTAGACCTTCATTCTAGTGTCATGTAGCACATGCATACAATGGGGATAATACACATCTTCTGTATTCAACCGCCAAGGTGGTTGTAAGGGTCAAATGGAAGGTGTGTAAAAATGCCTCTGAAATTCAAAGGTGACATTCCATTTCCATTTTTAATGATGAGACATTCTCTGGGACAGTACTGTGTTGACCCACCGTCTTTTAAGTTTTCTGTAGCTTCCTAAGGAGCCTTTTAAGATTTTTTGTAACATTAAAATAAACATATTATAACATGTATTAGCTTAACCCTTGTAAGTGTACAAGGTTCAGTAGTATTACTGAACATTTCACAACATTTCACATTGTTGGGAAATCTTCAGAATGTTTTCCATCTTGAAAAACTTAAGAGGATTGAAAAACATCCTTCTCCCCAGAACACCAGCATCTACTGTGTAAAGCTTCACAGCATTTCCCTTTTGAGATTTGCTTCTTAAGCCCTCTGAGGCAAAGGTGGGTCATTGAGCCTCTACTGAGGCAGTCAGCCCAGGAACATTTTAAAGTTACACCTGGAGATAGGCCCAGGGGTTGCCCCTGTGCAATAACCGGTTTTCTCCTCAGTGAAACTCTCCCTTCCTGATACCTTTGCAATGGTAGAATCAGAATGTGGCTTCCAATGGTACATACTTTGCTTTCTACTATACAAGCAAGTCATCACAACCCTAAGATGCCTTAAATGGCTCACACTGGCTCTCTTCCTGTTCCTCCTGGGGCCCAGCCTCTCTCTCAGACTGAACTCATTCTCCTCTTTGGGGCCGTAGCTCCCCTGGAAGGACCTTGACTATATTCTATAAAAGAAAACCTCTGCCAGCAAATGTTGCTTCAAATGTCTTCTTTTCTTGGATTAATTCTAAATGACCCTTTAAAAATATTTCCTTTCTTTTTACTTCTTTCTGCCTCTTTTTCGAAGTGGACTCCTGGGCTCTTAGAGTAGAACTCCTGTTCTGTTAGAGAAACTTTATCACAGGATAGTAAAGGCAGACACTGAGTGGTCAGATGATCTGAGCTTGGATTCTGTATGATCTTGGGCAGAGTTACTCTCTCAGCCTCAATTTTCTAATCTGGACAATAGGCATAAGAATATCAATTGTTTTTGCTGTGGAGAATTTTTGTGAGGATATAGCAACAAAGAATAATGAACAAGGAATTTCTTCCCAGAAAGTGGATCTAGAGCCCACTTGCCATATTGGTTGGAATTTTACTTTACTACCAGGGCAGAAACGTTGCTTTTTTTGCGGCCAGTAGGATTTGATGAGTTCTGTGGTCCAATGTGCATTTCTTATTTTTTCTTTATGTGAATTGAGCTGGAGTTTTTATGTGGTTTTCTGGTTTCTGTCTCACCTTTGTGTATCAGAGGTATGTGGGCAGATGAGCTGTCTTTTCAACGTACAGACTGTGGTCATGAGAAGTACATGCAGACCTGACAAGGAGCTCACATAGCAGCCAGTGATCCTGGGCTTTGGACAGGATAAGACTTTGGTTTAATTCATTGGTGATGACGGCATGAGAATACAGATAGAAAAAGGAGTGCCCATGGATGCTTAGGAGTCAGAGGAACAACTGTGGCAGATTCCATTCAATAGCTCATTAGTATCCATTCTCTTCTTGTGCTTTTCCAATGCAGATGTGAAAGTACAGTTCTAGATCTCCCAGCTTCCTGGCTGCTGGGTGTGACTGTGTCATGTGGTTCTGGCCAATGAAATGCAGGTGCAGGTACCCTGGGGAGGCTTAGTTTCCTGAGTAAAAGCCCAAAGCCTTGTAAGGAGACAGTCCTTCACTGCTTCACCTTTTCCCTTTTTCCTGCACTGAACATGGATGAAAACTAGAAGTAGAGCAGCCACCTTGCAACCACGAGGCAACAAACTAGAAGATGAAAGCCAGCAGGTCACACATCCAGGGAGGAAGATGAAGTCCTGAGTCCCCAGTGGCAAGGCTGAGCTATGTGAACCCCCGTTAGCTTAAGCCATAGTTTAGCTTTCTTTTATTTTGTGGTTGATTGCAATCCTAGCTTGTACAAGAGCAGGCATATTAAAATTTAAACAATTAGTAACTATCCCCTGAGAATGGAATCCCCCAAAAGCACTTAGGTGTGTGTGAGAGAGGCATTGGCTACTCGAGGAGTGGAGAACTTAGGTGATTCTGGGACTGAAACAGAGAACAGTTTTTTCAACCTGGGGCTGTGAGGTTTAGAAGAGGCTGAGAAGTTTGTCTCTTGTGCAGGAGTTCGTTAGAAGAAAAGCTGCTCCTTGGAAGATGGTTGAAGGGACTCTTTGGAGTTTCAGCCCAAGACCTGAGTGCAAAATAATGGGACTAAACCAACTCCTTAATGTACTTCAGGCAACTTTAACAAGTGTGGGGTTGAGATGTCATAATACTAGCATACTGCCTTCTCACTAGGCTCTGACAGCCACACCTGTTAAACTTTAAGAGTTTCACAAGCTGTCTCTGTCTTTATTTTAGGTTCTATTTAAAAGGGGTTAGTTGTTTTTCTCTGTGCAAATTGGAAAATTATATTCATATTTTGATAATTATTGCATTTTGAGTGTTTGAGAATGGGGTTGGGTTTATTTTTCCCAGTTATTCCTAGTCTTTGTTTTAGGTTCTATTTGGAAAGGGTCAATTGCTTTTCTCTGCATAAATAAGAAAATGCACGCTCTGAAGACAGGCATGGTGCTGCTAATGGCCCTCCCAGGTGAAGAAGTATGGAGAGTTTCACAGAGCTGGAGCAGAGAAGTGAAAACTCAAAAGACAACAAAGCCGCAGAGATTCTGCGTCCACCTGAGTTTTCACAAGCTCTCCCTCCTTGAGTCTTGATTTCCTTCCCAGCATTCCTACATTGTTTTAAATTAACACCACTTCACTATACCAGTTGATCATTGAACCTTTTTTTTTCGTACTTTGCTACATTTGTAGGAAATCATGTGGTTCAGTGGGGTCTGGAGGTCCACTGTGAGGTCTCAGCAGTGAAATTACAGGACTCAAGAGCATGGCCCTTTTATCAGCCTTGTGGCACTGCTCTCTTGAGCATTGATGTCTGTTGTGACCACCTGCAGAGCTGTCTGTTGAGTGGCTCTCTGGCAGGAAGACAACCTCTTGGACCTCTCCCTGCTATGTCCCATGCTCTGTCTTTCTTTTTGTCTTCTATGTTATTAACAGCTATTATTGCTTTTCTTGACTGACGTTTTCTTTCTTCACTTATCTCCATGAGTGAAGGCTTATGGAAACTTTCCTCATTTGTTCTTTGATTTTTACTATTTCTGCTCCATTTCTTCACCTTTATAGGGGAGAAGGTGCTCTGCATTGATCACTCCTGCAAAAGGGGAGTGCTATTTTTGTTATTTAAAGTCCTTGGCTTGGTGCCTCCTTTGAGTATTTTTAATGTAGTTTTAACATGTCCTACTTCTTCATGGCATTTTGAAAGGGGAGAGTCTCCTTTCCCCTAAATGATTCCTATTATAGTTTTAATTTCTTCCTGTTTTAGTAGGAATTTGCATACTCACTATTTGATCTTGCCAAATTTCCAAAATTTTGATGATTCTATTTTGATAAGGAAAGAAAATCTTGGTCATCACCTCACTGCCATGAACCATGTGTCTTTGGGTCACTTAGCTCTGTGTACCTCAGCTTTTCTGCTTACAGCATAAACATACTTCGTGTAAAGGCAAAGTGCTGGATAAGACAACTTCTCAAGTATCTCTACTGCTCTAACACCAGAACTCAATGATCAGAAAAGGGATGGCTTTTGTTTTGTAACAACCTCTAGTTCATACATATCCTGTGCTGCTTCTTAGCCCATTTCTTTCTCTCCTTTTGGTAAGTTTATGTCACTTTATTGGATTAAAAAAAAAAACAAAAACCTGTGCAGCACTTTACAGTTTCAAAGACCTTTCATATGCATTATCTAGGTTGGTTCCATTGCTCACACATGTAATTAACGAGCCTTGACTCCAGCATCCTTAAAATTTGCCACATAAAATAAGCTCATGCTGTGCTTCCTATCACTCCACTTCATCCCATAACATTGTATCAGGAACTCATTGCAAAGTTAACATATGTAGCTTTATCTTTTTCTTTGTAATGGCTATATAATATTCAACTTTATGAATATGTATGTATATATACATATATGTATATTCAACTGTATGGATGTGTGTGTATATATGCATATATGTATACTCAACTTTATGAATATGTATATATAAAATATATGCATATGTATATTCAGTTTTATAGATGTGTTTATGTATACATATATGCATATCTAACTTTACGTATATACATATTCATAAAGAAGAATATTATATAGCCATTAAAAAGGAAAGGTAAAGCTACACGTGTTAACTTTGCAATGGATTCCTGATACAATGTTATGGAAGAAAGTGGAGTGACAGGAAGCATAGCATGATTCATTGATGATTTGTTCTCCTATCTATATATCTATATAATACTTCTCATATATATATCTGTATAGATACATATATGTATATGTGTATCTATACAGATATATATAAAATCATTCTCCTATCAATTAGATAATTAGATTGCTTGGCCGGGCGCGGTGGCTCACACCTGTAATCCCAGCACTTTGGGAGGCCGAGGCAGGTGGATCACAAGGTCAAGAGATCCAGACCATCCTGGTCAACATGGTGAAACCCTGTCTCTACTAAAAATACAAAAAATTAGCTGGGCACGGTGGCGCGTGCCTGTAATCCCAGCTACTCGGGAGGCTGAGGCAAGAGAATTGCCTGAGCCCAGGAGGCGGAGGTTGCGGTGAGCCAAGATCACGCCATTGCATTCCAGCCTGGGTAACAAGAGCGAAACTCCGTCTCATAAACAACAAAAAAAAGATAATTAGATTGTTTTCATTTTTTTCTTATAAATGGTACTGCAGTGAACATCTATGCACATATATATTCATGCAATTATTTCTGTGGCATATTCCCAGAGGTAGTATTGCTGGCCTCCAGGCTTTGTTCACTCACAGTTTAATAGCAATGAATCCTAAACCCGTGCATTCATAAGTTACTTTTCGTTTTTAACATCTGTCCCTCTTCCCCTTAATGACTGAATTATTTTCTACCTTTAAAATATGACATTGCTCTGAAAATCTACAATCTTACTTTGATGTAGAAATTCTATTTCTGGAAATTTATATAAATATAATTAAGGATAAGTACAAAACAGCTATATTTATTAATATAATAATATAAGCAGCAGTAATATTACTATTATTAAATATTATAGTATTATGATAACTATGTAAATCTATGAGTTTGTACTACTTGATAATATTATTATTCCTTGACAATGTTGTCATTATTACTATGTACCTATTATATTCCAGGCATTGTATAAAGTATTTTAAATACACTATTTTACTTAATTCTAAAAGCAGGTTTTGGTGTAGGTACTATTATTAAACCCGTTGCCATGAATTAGGAAACAGAGGCTTAAAGAGATTAACTTTCCCAGAGATATACAGTCAACATACAGGAAATTTGGGAACTGAACTGAGATAGTTAGGCAGCAGAACACATAGGTTTAGCCACTGCACTAACTCCATATCTATATGTAAGTGAACCCAGTTCCTTCTATGTGCATGGAAGAGTTAGAAGAATGTTTGGAAGATTGTCTTTAAGTTCATAGGTTTGAGAATATTTTTAATTATCTTTTTGGCTTGTTTATTTCTTCTGAGTTTTTCTATAATAATAACATGTTACTTTTTAATAATAAATTAAAGCTAAGACTTTAAAAATAATAAAAAGGAGATCCAGTTTGACCAGAGAGATGTTTTTAACCTATTGCAGAAAGATATTTGATTATTAAAATAGTTTTGAATTCTTCCAAAATTTGTTTTATATATTTGATATTTTAGCTCTTTTCAGATTTTATCCCCAAATTTACATAATCAACTTTTGGGGGGAAGTCATGAATATTTGCAAATTCACTCTGTTACATTTTCCTGTTTCTCCTTCACCTGTGTTCATTTTCCCACTGACCTCCCACTACTTTTGAAAATTCACATTCCTTTCAGGACTTTATTTCTATTTATGGGATGTTGGGCTGTGACATACCTTTGGAGTATCAGCCTTGTCTCCTGACCCTGCAGAGTTCTATGGAACCCTTTTATTCACTTGTTAGAAAGCTAATTGTAACAACTTTACATATTTAGCTAGGGTTTCACAGTTTTTAAAAGTGTTTTCGTATGCATAATCTTATTTGATTTCCCCAGATTTTCCTTTACAGGAAGCACGGAAATCCATATTAACTGAATTTTACAAAGGAGAAAACAGAGCTTTACCAAGTTTCTCTTCACCAAGGCTACACAGCTAGCAAGTGCAATGCTGAGAGCAAAACCCAGACCTCTCCATTCCAAGTCCAGTAGTCCTTCCTTCCATCCTCTCATACCACCTCTGAACAGTTATCAAAGGCCACCAGATAGAGACTAACTATTTCTCAGATCCAAAGACTTCTAACTTAAAGGGGTGAGCAGATCCTTTTAACATCCAAAATGGGACCCAGGAGGTGAAACCAATCAAGGTAGCATTGGGTTAGGCCAGCCTTTTCCCAGACATAGAGCAAGCACAGAGCTATCCATGGTCCTGAGATCGCCAGCCCTGAGCCCGTGTTGACCATTGTGCCCACTGCCCATCTGACTTGTTCTTTACTTGTCCACTATTGCATAACTCACTCTTTTGAATCTCACTGACTGTTCTGTCTCTTTTATCTCTTTGTTATTGTTTCAGCAGGTTTCAGGATTAGTGGTGTCTCTTGGTCCAAGGTTATATATATGCTCTATAAAAACTTTTCCCTGCATGATTGCCATCCTTAAAGCAAACAGTAAACTGAGCTCCTTGAGAAATAATACTTTGTCTATTCATCCTCAGCCTTGAAAAATGAAAATCAGCCTATGTTCAGTTTTTCTTTTTAGCCTTCTGCATACTTATGCACTTGTTCCTTGTGTCTCTGGCTTAAGTTCTGCTTTACCAATATTTTGTTAACATTTTTTTCCTTCGGGTCTTTTTTTCCCCTTTTACCTTTGTCTTCTTTGCCTCTTTTCTGTTTCTTGGGCTATATGCAATACATTATTTCTATTGCCACTGACCTATTTCTGAGGTTTTTTTTATTCCAGCAATAGTTAACAAATACGCTTTTTAGTTTTTATTTGTCTTAATTTCTCTGGCTCAGAGTTTCTTGAAGAATGTCTCAAATATATGATATATGAATCAAATATATGATATATGAATCAAAAATCCCCTGTGGCACTAAATTTCTGGGTTCCATCTCTGAGCAGTTCTTCTGCTTTGACTGGGTCCCTTTTCCATCTGATTGCCCTTTTTATGGACTTGGAGACTCCTTTTCCAACGAAGCCTGGGCCAGGACCTGAGAAAGTGGACCTGAGCTGTGCCTTTTTAAGACCCTCACATTATCATTCCTATTAGCAGCTATTTCCTGCTCCACAGCCTTCTGCTTCCCATTGGACCATGTACGTGTGGTTTGTGACTGTAGTGTGTTCTTGTATCTATCCCCTCCAGCGCCTTCTTCCTTCTTCTTCATTTTCCACCTCAACCCTACTTTTCCTTTGTTTCTCTTTTTGGATAGCCTGCTTGAATTTCTCTAGCGTTTCCTATAATCTAGTATCTAGCTTGAATAGTCCTATAGTATTTTCTTACTCTTTTTCTCATTTCTTGGGGAAAACATGTGCTTTCATCCCAGGAGGTGCCATTTATAAGGCAAAGCTGGTCTACCTCTTATGATAAAATTATGAGGAAAGAAAAATATGTATCATAATTTCTTTTTACAAATAAGGAAGCTGGGATCTGGAAAACTTAAAGGTCAAGATCACTGACACAGGTGGTACTAGAATCCTAGTCTGAAGACTTTTACATAGCAATTTAGTTCCACAAACACTTCCTGAGTTTCTACTCTATGCAAGGCACTGAATCAGGCACTAGAGAAGCAATATGGAGAAAAACTTACCTCTCTGGTTTTATAAAGTTACCAGGATTCATTAGAAAGTTAAGAGATGTCCCAATAACACAGCACCAAGAGCTGAGTTCAGTGCTTCAAGCTCTAATACATTTATACATGAAATATAATGAGATCCAAGAGGAAGGAGGGAATGCTTGAATGCTTTTAACTGCGGGGTAGGGAGAGATAGCCCAAAGATGAATTACTGGGCATGTGAAGTGTGAGATGGGTATCAGAAAATGTGAAAAATTTCTAGTGGAAATACACTGCTGTTTAATGAATATCCTAGGGATTTCAGGCTTCAGGGCTGAGAGTAAGTAGGTTTAGGAAGATAACTTGGGGCCACATCATACAAAGACTTTGATGTCAAGCTCTCTTGGAGGTTGGTGACATCTAAAACTCTTATCTTTACACTCTACTGCCTTTACACATACATGGGATAAATGCAGAATCCTAAGTATCACTTTGTAAATAATAGCACAAATTCAGGCATAATGGAGAATGTAACAAAATGACAAGACCAGCACAAAAGCCCTAGAGCAAGGTGGTGGCAGCACTCCTGAACATCAAATGGGGAACCACACTCAAAGAGCTGTTCTGGAGAAGACAATTCTTTATTTCATAAAGCTGGCACCTGCTACTCAGAGCTTGTATTAACTCCCCCTGAGTGTTCTACACCTGAAATATAGCATTTATGGCTACATCTTGGGGTCTTTGTTGTGTCTTTCCCACTGTGGTAAAGGTGGATAAAAATTCTCATAAATACTTTAAGCCACTTGGGCGAGGAAATGGGGGAGTGTGGAGTAAGGCAATGTTTAAATACAGAGCAAAGAACTGACTTTTCTAAAGCATACATTAAGCAGTGTGTGGCTAAAAATAGCCACCTGTTCCAGGTCAGATCCCAAATTGAAGAGCTCTTCACATACCAGATTCAAAAAGCATCTGTCACTGGTAGCCATGGCAACAGCCATCCCTGAACGAATGTGGAGAGATGTTTTTGGAATAGGGCTGGGAAAAGAAGTGGACATGACAGTCTCTGCAGAAGGGGTGAGCCCTTTTGGTTGAAGCCTCATCTTTCTTCCTGGTTGAAGCCCCTTCCTGGTTGAAGCCTCATCTTTCTTTCTCAGGTCCCAGCCCTTCTAATTTTCTATAGTCGTTGGTTCTTGTTTTCTTTGAAGAAGCAGTTTGTAGACTTGGTTAGTGCCTATTTAATGGGCTGCACAGGGAGAAGAGACAGGAGGTAGGATCAGACATCCCACTGGCACTACAGAGATGGGATGGGAGGCCAGCATGCTTGAGGGAGTGGAGGGAGACTGGGAACTTCTGAAGAAGGGAGTGGTTCAGA